ATGTCGATGATGGCAACCCTACAAATGTTGCAGAGCACGAATAGCGGTGTATTGTATCTGTATTTGAATGTCATTTATGTATTAATCTTATGTATTAAGTCAAGCTATAAGTAGTCCCGCTTCTAGCAAATTCCGTTCTTTTTTACTTGTCTACGGAGCGAAACCAATGTGAGTAGAGTCAACCTATGTATATAGCTTGTACTATCTGTAAATTGCATTTTTTGTATTTCTTGTCTTAGAGAATAAACCAAAGTTGAGAATCCAAGTGGAAATCAAACCATACTGTTACTCGAGATTCCCCTTTATTTGTAGCAGCAGAGATTCTCCCAAGTTTATTCGAAGTACGTAAAAAAGCACAACTTTATTCTATTGTCGCAATTATTGCCATTGTTCCTGTCCATTTCTGTTAATCGTCGTTCATCAAGTCTATGTCAAGCAGCCCAAATACGCCGAGAAGGAGTCAAAGGAAAAACAAAGGACTGTTGCCCGTTCGTCTTGAAGAATTTGTCGTAGAGATGTCCCCTCCTAACCCGCCAAGTGACAAAATGTCGAACGAACAATCCCGCACGCCTGCCCAGTCGCAGCAGCAGCAGAATTTGTCTGCCCAGCAACAGCGCAGTTCGGGCGCCGAAAAGCAGCAAGATTCGTCCGGTAAACAGCAAAAACTACACCCGCCAAGATATCAACCTCGAACCCATCATCAGTACAACCACAGCCGGTAAGTGTTAACCTCGATGGGTTTAGACGCCAGTTGGATGAAATGCAAAACGAGTTCAAGCGCCAAATGCACGCCATGCAAAAGCTACTCGTTTCCAACACACAGCAACTACGTTCTGAATTTTTGCAAGCTAGATCCAAATCGCCGCCAAGAACTTCCGCATCTTCGCTATTAACGTCAGAAGAGCCGCAGCCAGCACAGCCATCTACGAACTCGACCACGCAGCCAGCATGTAATTTCCCCATACCGCAATCATCGCAGACGTCATTGCCACCCGCACCGCCATCACTCACGGTGCCTCAGCCAGCACCACCCCTTTCGCAAACGGCCGCGCAGCCAGCGTACGTTTGTTCGCAGTCAGCACCGCCATTTGCCCAAGCTGCCGCGCAGCCAGCGCATGCTTGGGCGCAGTCAGCACCGCTATTTTCGCAAGCAGCCGCGCAGCCAGCGCATGCTTGGTCGCAATCAGCAACGCGATCTCCACAGGCAGCCGCGCAGCCAGCGCATGCTTGGTTGCAGTCAACGCAACAGCCATATGCACAGGCACCGCGTGTTACATCATATCTTCGCGAAGAGAGCCAGCACTCTACGAGCAGCGCTGCTAAGAAAATATATCCCCTTCCTATATTTTCAGGTACTCCTGAAGATTGGCAGGCGTTCATCGAAACTTTCGAGGGTACGACGCTTGAATTCGAATACTCTAATTTGCACAATATAATGCGCCTACGTGATGCTCTCAAAGGCCGAGCACGAGAAGCCGTGGAGTCGTTGCTGGTCAATTCTGCCAACGTAGCCGCAATCCTCGAGATACTGCGCGAAACCTTCGGACGGCCAGAACAGTTGATCAAGAGCCAAATTGAAAAAGTCAGATCGATACCGCCTTTAGTCGATGGTCACCTCGAATCTCTGGTAAATTTTGCCAACAAAATAGCAAACATGGCGACATTCCTTCAAAATGTGGACGGGTTCCACCACCTCTCTAATCCAACACTGATCAGTGAACTTGTTGCTAAATTGCCGACACCACGTCAAATGCGGTGGGCGGAAAAATGTCTTGAATTGGAGCGTCCCCCAACGATTGTGGATTTCAGCAATTGGTTGATCACGTTACGCCGCCTGGCAAACATCGTAGCCTACACGCTACCTTATGAGGGGAATTCGCGGAATCAACTGCAATTGAGAACCAAATTGGCTCAGGGTCGCCGAACGGCATCCAACAATCGTCAGTACGCCTGCGTGAGCGTTTTTCACAGAATATGTCCCAATTGTGAGGGTGAGTGCGGCACTTTAAATGAATGTCAATCTTTTTTACATATGACAAGTGATGATCGTTGGAAGCAAGTGAAGGCATTAAAGCTTTGCTTCTCATGCTTAAGAAAAGGCCACCGTACGCAACAATGCCTTTCACGCAAAAGCTGTGGAAAAAACGGCTGCCGACAAGTTCACCATCATTTGCTCCACATCGATTTTGCTGGTGTACCGCCCAGACGCCGCGGAGCAGCCAATGCATCAAGCGAACTAGGAGCTGCACGACCGCAGGCAGACGCCCAACAACATATTGAACGCCGAAATTGTCATGCCGATTGCTACTCGCACAACGTCCTCTTCCATAAAACTGTATGGCCGAGAAAAGGTTATAACTACCTATGCCTTCGTCGACGATGGGGCGAACGTGTCCATGATCGACCAAGACCTTGCCTTGGCACTTGGAATTCGCGGCAAAGCTGAAATATTGGAGTTGCAATGGTTAAATGAGCAAACAAATACACAAAAAGCCGAACGTGTGACCATAACAATCAGCGGTGTGGAAAACGATTCCGAGAAGTATGAGGTGCATAACGTTTTCAGTTCTGCAAATTTGTCGTTGCCAATACAAAGCTGCCATATTGGAGAGTTAACAAAATCAGGCACAAACTCTCATCTTTTGGGATTAACACTCACCGATTATACCAACGTTAAGCCAAAGGTTATTCTAAGCCTCAATCACGCCTTTTTGACAGTCCCAATAGAAGCTCCACGCCAAACTATGGGTGCAGGCCAAACAAGGTTAGGCTGGGTGATTTATGGGGCAATTAACGCGACGCCCTCGTTGCAACCACTTCGTGCATTACATTTGAGGAAGGTGCAAAAATCGGAAGACGTCGCGCACAAAATGCATGACATGATGCAAAAGTATTTCGATATCGAGTCATTTGGTATTAAAGTTGATTCAAAAAAGATAATGCCTAAATCTGATGAGCGAGCGCTGGCGATTTTGGAAGCTAAAACAAAGCGATTAGGCGGCCGCTATGAATGTGGTCTTTTATGGAAAGAAAATGTGCCACCGTTCCCAGAGAGTTACCGGATGGCCTTGAATCGGTTACAAAGTGTTGAGAAAAAAATGGCTAGAGACAAAGAGTATTCGGTAGACTATTGCGCCAAAATGAATGATTATTTGAAAAAGGGCTATGCAAAAAAATTAACATCCGCTGAAATCCAGCAAGTTACCGCTAAAACATTTTATTTGCCGCATTTTGGTGTGAGAAACCTAAATAAAAAGGGAATACGAATCGTTTTCGATGCGGCCGCCGAAGTGCAAGGAATGTCACTAAACAAAGCTCTTCTGTCAGGACCCGACATTAACAAATCACTGATTTCGATACTCTTTAAGTTCAGGCAAGCTCCAATCGCCGTCTGTGGAGACATTAAAGAGATGTTTCATCAAATTGTAACGGCCGACGAAGATAAAGACAGCCAGCGGTTCCTCTGGAGAAATGGAGATCCATCAAAGCCGGTGGAAATATTCAGGATGGAGCGAATGATTTTCGGAGCCACTTGTTCACCCACGATAGCGCAGTATGTAAAAAACGTCAATGCCAAGGAATTTGCAGCAGTGAGCCCACGTGCCGTGCACGCTATCACTGAAAGGCACTATTGGACGACTACGTCGATTGTTTTCAAACGGAGAAAGAGGCTCTAATAGTAGTACCGGAAGTTATTCGAATCCATCGAACTGCAGGTTTCGTGTTACGAAACATAATTTCAAATTCGGAAAATTTAAAAACAGCATGTGGCAGCTCTGCAAGCAGTGCAGGTGATGTGTGCATTGAAAAAGAAGCGGATAGAATATTAGGAATGCACTGGTTGTCAAAACCAGATGTTTTTGTATACATCTTACGACTACATAAAGTCCCACAAGAAATTGTTATGCACGCAAGGAGGCCTACTAAAAGGGAGATGCTGAGCCTCAACATGTCGATCTTCGATCCATTCGGCTTTCTAGTGGACTTTATGGTAAGCGCGAAAGTGTTGATGCAGGAAGTGTGGAGAGCTGGTATCGAATGGGACCAGCCATTGCCAAACGACATCTATCACAAATGGAAAATGTGGCTTAACGAATTGCCAAAGGTTGAGCAATTTCGAATTCCGCGTTGCTACGTGCGGGACTTCGAAAGTATTCCTGCAGAGTTACACATCTTCTCTGACGCAAGTGAGGAAGCGTTGGCAGCTGTGGCTTACTGGCGTGTAGTGAGTGATGGTAGGGTTATCGTTAGATTTGTTATGGCAAAGTCAAGCTGCGCGCCAACGCGCTACCATACCATACCGAAGCTTGAGCTGCAGGCTGCGGTCATGGCGCTACGGTTAAAAGAAACTATCGTATTAAACCATAATAAAATCATTAATCGCTTCTATTTCT